ATAGATAGATAGATAGATATATAGATAGATATAGATATGGCCTCCATACTTTCTTACCCAGTTTATTTATATATAGATATATATAGATATGGCCTCCATACTTTCTTACCCAGATTTAAATAATATAGGAGCAGCAGCAGTGATTTATACAACTACAGTAGTTTGTATGTTTAGTGTTGTGGTTTAATATGTGTAGTGTAGTTTGTCATAAACCAAAATGACCCATATAAGACACACATGACACATTCAATGAATACATAAACACATGAAAGGAACTAATACCTTTTTATTTTAGTACCTAAGTAATGACATTCTCTGAGCTACTTCTGGTGTTTACTGTAATTGTCTTCATGTTTTATTTCTTGCTGTCTACTGGTTGACCCATTTCCCAGTGAGCATATATTCAGATCCACAAGTCTGGGCCTTCTCCTTCATTTTACCTGTCTAAATTTATCCTCCGCTCGGCATGGCATAAACAAAGTGTTGCACTATTTCCAGTTAGAGAAAATATCCCACAGGTACTGCCTGGGCCTCACTTACCTAAAAACACGTACAAACACACTGCATACCCTACCAAGTATACATGTTGTAAACTGCGAGTATATGTGACCCATCAAATCAAACCAAGGATTAAGTCAAATTAATTCAAAGTGACTTTAAAAGCTACATTTTTATCCCTGGATTATCCTGATATCATAAGCAGTTCCACAGATACGACTTAATTTGACTTGTTAATAATTAATATTTGGTCTCAACCCTATTTTTGTGTAACTTTAATGAAGGAGTTTATAAAGAAGAAACCTCAAAAAGCATCTGAATATTGAGATTTCCCAGCTGAAAAGAACCAAAAGCTTTGCTTGCTTGCAGGGGGGAAACAAAACAAAGGGGTTTTTGCTCAGTTTGATGTGATTTCAGTGAAGAGATTTAGACATTGCATAATGTTGTTGTTAGACTTGGCCATAGTTTCTTCCAGCCCAGTAATTCTCAGAATTTCCTCCTTTTTTCTTATGTCTTCCTTTACCTAAGCTGACAGGATTTTTTTACCTGGAAGAAAATTCTGAGTATATTATGACAACAGCAGTGTGTGACCACCACCCTCAGGAATTTCATCTTCTGACAGGCATGTCTACTCATGTGATCAGGAAGATGGTATGGGGGTCATTTCAAAAAGTATTTAAAGGAACCTTTAGCATGTATAGTAAAGTTTAAAAGAGGTAATAAATACCTTTTTTAAAACCTTTGGTGAATACTTGTTACCCACCTTGAGAAGCTGTCTAGCTTTCATAAGGTTTTGCTTAGGCCCTGAGATGCAACACAAAAAACATTGTTTTTTTTTTCTTTTTCTTACAAAAGGTTTTGAGTTTTCATGGCCACTATATTTTCTGACCCAAACAATACAATAACAGAGCAGCAGTAGCTGGGGTTTAAGTTGCCAGAGTAGTCAACATACAATTGCACTGTTTTATACGGGGTTTTTTTTTCTTCGCTAGGAGTTTTGGACAATGGTTAATGTTATTAGTTTGTTTTTGCCCAGTAATTCTCAGAATCTTCTTGTTTTTACCTTTAGTCTTCCTTTATCTTACACAACTAGTGTTTACCAGGAAGAAATTTCAGAGAATATTATGACAGCATCTTTGTATAACCACCACCCTAGGGTTATAAAGGGCATGTCTACTCATGCAGTCACAATGGTACTGCTCAGTTGGAAGATGAACCAATGCGGTGCTTTGGTTGTAATGGAGCTTTGTGATATCTGCTTTCCTGAAACACATGGTCGCACAAACCCAATCAGTGCTCCTTCGACACAGGACACCCAGGTGTTGTTGGACTTCTGCTAAGATGCTTTGTTCCAGAGAGGAAACAGAGAAAGGGTAGACAGAAAATAAACCCAACAGGTACCTGACAAGACAAGATGGACAGCCATGATAGCAGAGTGGACCACGAGTTTGGAGACAAGTTAATTGTATGTCCGAGAGTCTTTAATTTACATTGTAAAAAGCCAATGTTAGGTTGTAGAAAGTGGTAAATAAATATCCAATGCATGAAACATTCTTGGCAAACAAAGACCTCTGCCATGCTTTTTATTTGATGTTTTAAAGCACTCGAAGGCCACAAATTTTATGGGCATGCAGTTGATTGCCCACCATAATCAAGCCAAATCACAATGCGTTTATGGCTTCAGTGCGTTTATCTTTACTATTTTTATACGAACAATCGATCACTCGTCTTTGTGCAACATAAAATAGGTTTTGGGAAGTGACAGCATCCACAGTGTTTGTCTCCTGAGTGCTATTCTTCCTTTTTAATCGTTTGGGTTTAGTTTCTGCGTTTATGTACAGATTGTAAAAAGAGAGAATTGYATCTCAGGTTTAACAAATCTTATCTGAGCTGTTGAGGCTTTTTTTTTAAATGGCATTGTGAGTTTGTCCAAATGGAATATGAGCACGCTCAGGTTTATCTGGGAATCATTTCCCACTTCAAACAAGACACCGGATTATTTTTACTCCAACAAGGGCTAAACTAGGTCTAACTCACTAAGATGTGTGAATATTTTTTCCTTAATAGTAACCCATAATCAATCGTTGACTAAACTTGAGTTTGAATAGGTCTGGTAATTTCCAGGAAAATTTGTGTTGGTCAAGTTTGCTTTCACTTTTCTTTTTTCTGCTTTCGTCCTCCTCCACTGTCTATAATTTCCAGCAAACAAAAGCATTTTTTTTCTCGTGTTAGATGAGGCAGACCCATGACTCCAGATCTGTGCTCACTTTTACAGCTCTTGTTTGTTGTTATTCAAGGACTGTATTGATTTTTACCCCTTTTCATGTGTGCCTCCCATCATTCTCTCTTCCCGGTCAGTGCCCTGCCAATTCAAACTTCTTCTTTTTTTTTTTTTGACAGCTGCAGGCTTTGGAAGTAGGAGGAGGACTTGTTTTTGTTTTCCAGAATATTCTTTCCTGTTCCTGTTTGAGGGCATGGCAGAAACCTGTCATCACTTATGTTTCAAATGATTGATGACGGTGTGTTTCTTTATGATGAACTGTTGGATTTGCCTGTGAAATGCCACGGTGCTTCCTCTGGGGTTTCTCCTTCTTCTTGACCCTCTTTCCAAATACWAGCTAGGAGCTTTTCTGTAGCTATCAGCTGACTGCTGACCTAACTCTGGAAAAGAAATTAGATGTTATGTTTTGGCTCTTGTGATTGCACGAGTCCAAAATACATTATTATGTGATTGATTCAGGGTCAAATTAAACAAAATATAAAAACAATGATTTTTCGTGTTTATATGGCAGTTAAACATGTCCATAAAGCATTCCAGTGGCACATTTTTTTCTTTAAAACTTCTTGTTTTTGGCATTTTTGTGTCAAAATCTAGAAATGGGGTTATTGTGTGGGAGGAGCTACCATCCTTGGCTGATCATGTCATTAATGCCACGTACAGCTGTCAAACAAACTTAAACCAACATCAGGATTTCACAAATCGAGTGAAGACTGTTCGTCTGATCCAGATTCCAATGACCATGACCCCAGTCCATCATCTGACTTTGGATTGTAATTTTCACGCCAGAGCTTAAGTAACCAAATTAGCTGAACTTTCTTGAAACACCAGTTTTAGTTTCAGGTCGGTTTGTACAGTTTTTTTTTTTTTTTTTGTGACACTGAACCATTTCACTTGCAGGTTATCTGCATTTAAACCCTCTCTACTTGTTTGTTTGCAATCTGTGGTTAACCTCTGGTTCTGCAACACTTCCAAGTAACCATGAAAAAAGAAAAAAGCAGAATCAAATTTTCAGTCTTTTTTTTGCACTGATTTAAAATTAGTCCACTTTTTTCAATATATGTCTGCCTTGAAACACTTTCTGAGTTATAGACTCAGTTTATTTAAAGTTGACAGCATTTAAATGTAATCTTTGAGATGTTAACGTTGAAAAATAATGACAAATCGTTCTTTCATCCAAACACAGTGGCATRTCCGTACCAAATTATGAGGTCTACTCATAGAAAAGTAAAGCTCAATAGTTACAGTGACTCAAATAGCCAGTTTTAAAATGATTATTGTATATGTGGTGGACAAAACTGAGGTGAAAAGATTGCTTCATCTCATCCTAAAGCCATGCTGCATACCAGAGGTCTCACCTAAAGAGGYTACAAAGTTCAACTTGACACATTTCCTCCATTTCACACACTCCTGAAAAGACGTCATRATCTGCCTTAGGGCTGCTTCGACCAAGAGGAACTYTTTCTTTAATGTATCATTTACTGACCCAGGGAAAAGTAGGTGGGATTTTTCCTTGACCCTTTCAAMTCTTACAGAACACCAGATCCACATCATCTCTGCCGCCTTTTGGCCCCGTCCTAACCTATATCTTCTACTAAAGCAGGTGCCGGAGTGTGGGTTAGTGTTAGTGCGGCACGTGAAAGAAGCGGCAACAGACACCAGTCGCAATCTGTGTGACCTTTTGCCCCGGGCTAACCTTTTACAGGAGCCTCCTGTACCTGCAGCCGCAATCCCATTAAAGGGTGTAAGGAAAGCTTGATTTGGATTATGTGACAGCCTGACTTCTGCAGCAGATTACCGGTGATCAGCTGCATGGTGGAGGTGGATGTCACGGTCTGTCCGTCAAGCTGCCCGACGCACGCTTTCTTTCATATAAGCTTTCAGGTTACAGAATAACTCCTTCCTATGGAGGCTTTGTTTGCCCTGTTGTCTTCCCCTGTAGCCGTATTTTCCTGTTTTACAGCTTTTATCTGTATTAGCAGCACACATTTTACAACCTCCGCTCCGTCACACACCTCGCATGGTAACAATGATTAAATAGCTCCATGCAAATGTGCTAATGTTTATGGCAGGTGTGCTCAGATCGGTTTTGATTGCTAATGGAGAGCCCACCAAGAAATAACCACAGGCGTATTCAATCTCTGCACACGAGTGCACATCGCTACTGGAGTGTAATTCATATCCTCACAAGCTGCGCATGGGAAAGTTTTAACATTTAAATTCAGCTTGTGCTGCGTGTGGATGCATTGTTTGGGTTGAAATCATGTTAAGATAAAATGCTATAAATAAAAAGTTGATTTTTTTTTTTTAAACCATGACAGTGGGTTGAAGGTTGTAGTCCATGCTATGAAGTGATCAAAATCACACAAGCAGAAAGTTTAATAAAACCTTGTTTTTGTCTGACAGGTTCTGCTAGTCAGCAGCAGTCGGCACCCGGACCAGTGGATTGTTCCGGGAGGAGGGATGGAGCCCGAGGAGGAGCCGTGTGGCGCTGCGGTACGAGAGGTCTTTGAGGAGGTGGGTACAACATACGAACACAAGCAAAAACATGATTTCACCTTTTTAGGCTTTGGGGGATAACAAAAAAACTTTTAATGCTGCTTTAAAAACAGCCACTTGTCYAAACATTTATTAGTTTTAGGGGCCACAGTGCTGGCAGCTTAGTCTCTCAGGGGTCTTGTGGCATTCCGAGCTCCTGCTGATTGAGAACCACATGTTCTCTGCTGTGTCGGCGGCATAATCTGGGCTCTTCTCTGGACTCCTGCGCATTCACTGATCCTCACACGGTGCACTCACTGGACGGCTTCACACCGAGTTCAGAGGAGATGGATGTCATCTGAGTTAGAAAAGTGACGGTTATGAAAGGGACATAATTGCCCCTGAGGAGTCAGGAAGTCCTTTGAGAACAAGAAGTCTTATTATGTAATCTGCAGCACATAAAGTCCATTTATAAGAAAGAATGGCTCTGGAACTCTGGAAAAGTTAGAGTTTGGTTTTTAAAGTCAGTTTAGCTTCTTTTTATTGTATTGTGACCAAAGCACACAGTGTAATTGTTGCTGCAACCTTATGCTATTGTGGTTTCACTAAAAAATTMAAACCTTTTTTTTTCTTCTTCTTTTTAGGCCGGTGTAAAGGGCAAGCTAGGACGCCTACTTGGTGTATTTGAGGTGAGTTTTTAACATTTCTCTTGGACAAAAAATAACATTTAAATGAGCAGAAACTAAATATTTGCACCATTTTTTTAATGAAAAAAAAAAACATTAACAGCTTTAATTCCAATAATTCTTMTTTTATTTTTGTCTTGAGGGCTTTTATTTTGTCATCTAAATGATTTTTTTTCTTCCCCATCTTTAAAGCAAAACCAGGACCGGAAGAACCGAACCTACGTGTATGTACTGACGGTCACGGAGACATTTGAAGCCTGGGAGGACTCKGTCAGCATAGGTACAGCTCTCTGATGAATATTTGCAGCCACATACGTCTAAACTTACTCTGCTGAGCAGGATATACTGGATCTCTTTTATTTATGCGGAGGCCCGTATGCCGCTCGGAAACTGCACCAGCGTGCGGCGTCAACAGCTGACTGTAAATCTGGGGCACTGATCCTGGCTGTCGTATATYGCAACTGTCAGTAGTCTGGGTGCCAAGCATGAAGTCGTTACTTTGTTAAGATGTGCTGAGTGGAGGACCACTTACCTGTGTGCATGTTTTATTTACAACCCTAAATCAGATGAAGCTGGGGTGCTGTTCAAAAATGTAAATTAAAAACTGAAAGCAGTGATTTGCAAATCATGGAATGGAACATAGTAAACATATTTAATGTTTAGGCTAAAATATGGTACAGTTGTTTTGAAAGAAATATGCTAACTCAGAAATTTTATAGCAGCAACACGTCTCAAAAATATTGATGTAATGTGTTCCACTCCATATTTATTTATTTATTTCATTAAAATAAAAATAAAATACAAAATAAAAATACAATAAAATAAGAAATTACACCAAAAAAAGGCAAAAGTGTTAAGTGAGAAAGCCTCACGTCTGTCCTTTGTCTCCCTCTGCAGGCCGTAAGCGGGAGTGGTTCACTGTGGATGAAGCCATCAAAGTGCTGCAGAGCCACAAACCCGTTCACGCCGAGTACCTGAGGAGGCTCCAGCTCAGCTGCTCCCCCACCAACGGAAACTCCATCCTCCCGAGCCCACCCCCAAACGACAACTACCCCCATTACAGCACCTCTGCACCGTCGACGGGCAGCGTGCTGGCCTCCTCCTGCAGATAGGACTGCACCTCCTTCCTCCCTTTCCTTTTTTTTTTTCTTTCCCTGTACAGTCTCTTGCATGAATCTAAAGACTTCTACGAGCCTCGGCTCGCTTGTATTTATAATTTCTTATCACGGACTGCAAGACTTGACCAAAGCTGGCGCCAGAACTGAGCTAAAAACTGAGCAGGAAAAGCTCGCGTCTGGATGTGGCTAATTCATGGAGCACCAGGATGCAGTTTGGGAGAACAAAGCTGTCGACAACGCTGGTGTGAACAACCTACAGTGAAGGAATGCCTTACAGAAACTTTGTATGAATGTTATATTTGAGTTTTTTTTTTTTTCTTTACGTGGCCTCCCAGAGAGCACAGTGTGTTGAATGTCTCCAGATGTCTTGATGGTAACAGTGAAATCACAACACGTGGGTATTTATTAAACAGAAAACAGCTAAACTTAGTTTTTGTTTAACATTCTCCAGTGAAGTTCATTCACTGCTTTTTAACACAAACAGTGGTGTTAAAACGACATAAAGAGTAATGTAAGAAGTTGGCAAAACCTTTGCTCCAGATACAAGTTTTTGATACTTTCTACCTCAGTCAACTGGATATGATTGTCCTGTTTTGTGAACACCTCCTCAGAAGCAGCTCTGCTGTTTGTAAGTTAAACTTGAGCGCTGCAGCGTTACGTGTCAGCTAACTGCGACAAACGTCCACACAACGCCCCTTTTCTCCTTCTCTAAAGAAACAAATCACTTTGCTTGTTATTCTACAGAGCTCTGAGTTTCAAAGCTTTAAAAGAAAATATTTTTCTTCAACCCAAACTTGTAAATTAAGTGACAAAAATTTTGTTTTTCAAATCCCCCCAAAAAAACAAAACAAAAAAAGATACATTTCACATTTTAGGTTCGTATTTTCCACTTGCTCATGCTAACCCCTCCACTGAAAATCCGCCCTTTCTGCTTCGACAGCTTGAATGACAACCAGTCAACCATGATGGTGAAATGTAAATAACTTTGAGAAGCGCTGTAAAAAGAAAAGAAGTGTTTTTAACCTGAACGTACCTGTACATTTTCTCAATATTTTCTATATTTTTAAAAGATGCACACGCCGTAGGGGGAAGGTGTACAGCGCTGAATGTATCATGGTTGAAGATGTGCCACAGGTTACGGATGGAAAGCTTTGTGGAAGTAAAGACAAAAATCTGTATTTCAAAATAAGATGTATTGTTTGGGATTTGATTAAGGTACTTGCACAGAATTGGTCATATAATGTAAATTAAGCGAAATGCAAAGCTATACAGATAATTAAGATAGCTGTGTTGTATTTTGGAAAAAAACACGATTTAAAAAAATCTTAATCTAATCTTTTAAAGATTTTAAACTGTTTAAGGTATTATCTTAATTTTAAAGATAACTAATCGTGCGTTTTATCTAGCGACACACTTCCTTTTTTACAGTTTTAAAAACTAACTCGTTTTCTGATCGCTGTGTTTACTCCTGTTACATCATTTCAGTTAATTTGTCGCAGCCTGACCTCTGTGTGTAAATGTTTATTACAAAGTTGATCAACTTTAATTATGTGCCAAAATTCAAACTTTGTCTTCAAGTAGGAGGGAAATAACCTAAACATATAAGTAAATTTTACCTTTCAGGATTTCAAAACTTTTTTTTTTGAGTTTTTACATCCTGTAACATGGGTTAAGTTAAATTCAATTTATTTGTCCTGCTGTTAAAACTGCTGCTTGAATACTTTTCTCTCCACTTGAAGTCTCATCGAATGTTTTTGGACGTGTTGATTTTCAGCTGATATTACTCTTAACAAGAACTTTTTTTTAACATTCAACRCTAATGAAAATGTCAGTTTAATATGATTTTATGCAAAGCAGATATTTGTGTGGAAGCGATGCGAACTGGAAAGATCGTTTCTCTAGATATCGCATTAAAGACGAAATATCTTACTGTAACAGTTGCTGAGTAATCATTTATTTAAAGGCAAACAACTGGTTAATTTTTTTGTTTTACGTTTTCATTTACACAATATTACATGTAAGGCTCTGTAAAACTCCTTATAGACTAAAAGATCCCTCTAGGTATCAATATTTTACTTGAAATATGATCATTCAATAATTGTTATTTTACCTTTAGTTAGTTGATGATGATAAAACAGCACAAACATTTTATGCAAATAAAAATGTTTAACTACAAAATATAAAACAATGTTTGAGTATAAAAATGTAATTCACCTTCTATGCACTATTTTAGACAACACTAGTGCATAAGCACGCTCGTCTTAGTATCGATAGTATCGATGTTTCGATTGATCCGCACACAGCAAAAACGCACAGGTGGGTGCTACCACTTGAGTTATTTTGTTGCTTTTTAAATCTTTTTTTAACTTTTTAAAATATTAACTTTTATTTACAAACATGGTGTCTAATTTTGTTAAATTAATTTCTACAAAAACATTGGTTACTGCACACTGCCTTTTGCTAGCTTCTACTAGCTAGCCTTTTACTTTTAGCTAGCTTACTTTTTAGCTTCTAGCTAGCCTTTAAATATTTTAGCTAGTCTTTACTACTTTTATTTAGCTTTTTGTTACAGTTAGCTAGCCTTTTGCTACTTTCAGCTCTTTTTTAGCTGCTTGTCATTTAAGCTTTTCTAGCATTTAGCTAACACTTTCCTCTCTTAGCTTTTTTGTGTGTTTTTAATTTAAAAAATGTATTTATTGAGGTTATTTGGTGTTGGGACAGGTGAAAAGGTAACGATGAGGGGGTGACACCTGACACCTCAGATGCTTCCTTAGCCCCGCCCCCCACCACCTCAGGTGGCCCCACCTGTGCGTGGACAACAAAGCGTAGCGAACAGAACTGCCATTGTTCGGGACCAGCTCCTATCAGATTCAATGAGAGGAAACCGATTCACTTTTTGACTTTGTTGTTGTTTTGGTTGACGATGGGAGACAGGTTTTTAAAGTCGGCTCTACCTGCGCTGGATTCGTTGCTGGACGACTCCAGCCTGGCGCTACCGGCCGAACCCAGTCCGAGGTCCTCGACCAGGACCGAACCGAGCGACCGGAGCCTCCGTGTTCAGCAGCAGGTTCGGCTCACCCTGGAACGGAAGTCAAAGAGGAGTCTCTCTAATGGTGATTAGAGAAAGTTCAATCTGTTTATTATTTACAGGCTTTTGCTGCATAGAAATAAAACACTTGTAATGACTGCATGTTTTCATCAACCACTCAGTGTTAAGAAGACAGGCCCAAATATACAGTAATAACACATTTGAGGATAAGGCCACGGTTCACTGGAGATCCACAAATAACCCATTAGGAGAGAATGCTGCTGATGTTTGACTGGAATGCATTCTGTATACAATGGTTCTCTTGTTCAACAGGTTACCGGAGTTTCACCTCTCTGCCCAAAGGTTGTTAAATGTTACAGCTCATTTTGTTTTGGTGTTTCATAGAAATGATTATCCTTTTTTAACAGCTTTTGTTCAGTGAAAGTGATTTTGCACATTAGAGAAAATATGAAGTTCCTGTAGGCCTACTGACTAACTATAGGGAGGGAAAAAAAATCAAAAACAAAAGTTAATTATAGGAAGATTTTGTCAAAATGTGTTATTTCCCCATTTTCATAGTTATTGATATTGTTACTGCATATGTTCATTTTTTCTACAAAATATATAAATACAGCGGGTAAAATAAGTATTGAACACGTCACCATTTATCTCAGTAAATATATTACTAGAGGTGCTAATGAC